AGGCTGGGTGCCCCCCCCCTTTTTGATTGTTTATATAATGTCAAGTACTCTCTTGCCGTATATAATGCTGTGCTTTGAAAATTGGCACCTTTGAAAGAGAACTTCAAGAGACAGCCCCCCCCCCAATCAGTGACAGGTGCCCCGAGAACCAGCTCCCATGTGGGATAGCTGTGCTCTGCTCATTTTATACCAAGCCACCAGTCTACGCCTTCCCGTTTCTGTAAGTAGGATGGGTTAGATTTCAGTTGAAATCAAGCCACTTAAGTTACTTACAATATTAGCCTCAACTGGGTTCCCTTTTTCCTTCCTTTCTCTCCTGTTCTTTTTCTTCTTTCGGTGTTTGCTTTTTGTTTGTTCTTGGTTTTCATCTAGAAACAAAATGGGAAAGAATGGGCTGATGTATTTCATCAGAGACCCCTGGGTAAAGCAGAGCTACAGTCAGATCCAGGCCTCAGCTCTGGAGGTCCACCCAGCTCAGGCAGAATTTCAAGGTGTGAACCCCGGGCCCTGGCTTTTGTCACTTGGGGAAGTTGAATGATCTTAAGTGACCTGCAGGATATGGGTTGAGGGCCTTTTAGGAAATGAACCAGACGTCCTAGAGTGCTCAGCCGCTACCTCATGGCTTGTCTCCAGCCGCAGCTCCTGTCTGGAAGACATCTGGGAAAGGGGCTGTCGTGGGTCATGTGGAGCACTAGGGAAGGACCCGCAGTCACAGATGGCTCTGTGTGGAAGAGTCTCCTCCCTCCCTGCCTGGCACTCCTGTTTTATCTCTGCTGCTTGCCCACTGAGAGATGCTGAGGTTGCTCCCTAGATAGAAGGGCCTTTATGTCAACAACAAATCCTTGAAAGCAGTTTTACAACCTTTGTTGTTTTCAAAGTCTGTATAGCTTTCAAGTAGAAATAAGATAGACTAGTTAACCAGTCATTAATATTGATGAAAATTGGTAATTATAAGTATGCCTGGCTTCATGCCCCATTGTCAAATAAATCCTCTAAATTAGTCAGATTTTATTATTATAAATCATTTGATCCTGAAAAACCAATTCTGAACCCTTAACTCCATTAAAGTTAAAACTAACCTAACCTACCCCCTTACAGAAAGCTTTGTTAACGGGACCCTGGAAGCCCTAATGACTTCATTTGCATACCTTTGCTTAGCTGCTGTTTGCTTGTTCACTGGTAGTGTAGGTGACCTAGAGCCAGCAGTCGGAGGCTCTATCCAGTCCTTTCATTCTGGCTTCATTTGTTTTGCACCTTCTCTAAGAAAAGTTGCCACGCCCAGTAGTGGAAGCAGGAACTAATTATGTGGTCCTCTCCATGGGCTGTTTTTAAAACACTGAGCCTTTTCTTTCCTTTTATCCAACTCCAACCTGTTCAAAAAATAACATTCATAAAAATACAGACTTTATGTTTTCACCTTTATGCTTTTATTGTGCCCCCCCCCCCCCCCCCCCCGGTGCTGGGATTAAAAACATCAGTACAAGCTAATCTTTTTATCTTTGGTTGGAGTATAGCCAAAGAAAGAGGTACTTTTTTCCTAACCTAAATTAAAAGATGGAACCAGAGAGCAGGCATGAATGAGTGGGGTCTGGGGAAATGGCTGTAGCAGGATTAATTGTACTGAGTAGAGTCAATTCTTTTGCAAATCCTTTTTAATGTCAAAGTAATTCTCCTTTGTGATATACTTAAAGATTTTTTTAAAATTCAAATTCTTTGCATTTGTGGTCAGGAAGGAAGGAAAAGAGCAGGCGGGCTGGCTAATTTAAAAATAAGATAAATAGCTCTGCGGGTTGTGATGGTGTGGGAAGCTCTCTGAAGGGACTTGTTGTTAGCTTCTTTTTTAATTATGAAAATTTCAAACATATCAGGATAGAATTAGCCAGGAATGATAGGTAGCTCGCACCCATAATCCCAGTACTCTGGAGGCCAAGACAAGAGCATCAGAAGTTCAGTGCCAGCTTGGATGTGGGTTCAAGTGAATTTGAACATAGTGAATCTTTTTCTGAAATATTTCCGAGTAATTCCTGGCCATTTCTGTTCTAGTTCTCTCAGTGTATGTCTCCAGGTGCTGTAGGCGTTTGCTTTCTGTCTGTGTGTCATATCTGTGGTTCATGCTGGCCTGGACTCTGTGCAGCCCAGCCTGCTCTGGAGCGAAGGGATTCTGCTTCAGCCTCCTGAGTGCTGGGCTACACATGTCTGGTCGCCACACTGGGCTATGAGGAGGTACGTGTGTCTGTAGGTGTGTGAATATGTGCACATGAGTGCCGTTGCCCCAGGAAGCCGGAGACATCAGATCCTTTGAGCTGGAGTTACAGTGGCTGTGAGCCACCCCGTGTGGGTGCTGGGAACTGAACTCTGGCTCCTCTAGAAGAGCAGCGTGCACTCTTAACCTCTGAACCATCTCTCTAGCTTAGATGATGGGCTGCAAAACAAAAAGGTCCTAGACCTCACTTTGTTTATTGACCTCCTCTGCCACCCTCCCAGAGACAGGGGCCTCTATATTGGTCTCTGTAGGGTCCTAGTTGGCCTGGAATTCACAGAAATCCACCTACCTCTGCCTCCTGAGTGCTGGAATTAAAGGCGAGCCCCACTGTGCCCAGTTTAGGCCTAGCTTTGGGAAATACATGTCCCAGAGGCGAGATTAGATTCAAAGTGACTGTCATGATGCTTTATGATTTCTTTGTCTTGTCACTGACCAAATAATACACCAATCACACACTGATGCTAATATTCCCTGGAGGGCGGGGTAAGCTTTATTTAGTCAAGTAAGAGCAACATTCCTTGTTGTTGGTTATAATTATAAAGTTAGCAATCTTTATCAGTGTTTTACAATACTGATACCTAGTAGGAAAATATCTTCCTTGTTGCACATTGGATTTCTTTAGTAATTGTAGATTTGGCCATGTGCTCACTGACTTCTCTCCTAACTCTTTATTGTCTTTGACATAGTATTGCTTTTAGAGATTCTACTGTCTTCATTCTTTGAGTGATACCCAGTCTGGCCAGGGTTGATCCTCTAGCCTTAGCTTCCGGAATTCTCAGATGATAGGTGTGCCACCACTCACAGGCTGCCTCTTGCCAATTCTATTCCTTCTTAGATTTTATTTTCATTTTATACATGTGGGTGTTTTGCCTCTGTGTATGTCTGTGCAGTGCCTGTGCACTCAGGCAGTGGGCAGTGTAACCTAGCAAGCCCAGGGTCCTCTGTAGACAGGTGCAAAAGGTCCCTTAAAGAGACAAGCTCTGCCCATTGCCACTCTCTTCCTGTTGTTCTTCTAAAGAGGCAGAGGCAAGCAGGTCTTGGGTGCTCTCTCTCTCTCTCTCTCTCTCTCTCTCTCTCTCCTTCCCTTTACCCTTCTCTCAATAAACTCTGCCCTCAAGCTCTGTCTGCATGGTGTATGATACCTCTGGCTCTCACCCACCATGTCCCTTTCCCTCTGAAATCATTACAGCCTGTGGAGGGACATCGGATCCCCTTGGACTTGAGTCACAGTTAATTCTTGGCTACCATATTGTAGGTACTAGAATTCGAACCCTGGTTCTCTAGAAGAGAAGCCAGCCAGTACGCTTAACTGCTAAGCCATTTTCCAGTCTCTTCTCCCTCTTACGTTATTTATTTATTTATTTTGAGACAGGGTCTGTCTCCTTTTGGAGACAAGGTCTATACCCTTGGCTGTCTTTCAGCTATGTAGACTGGGCTGGCCTCAAACTCACCAAGATCTGCTGAGACTAAAGGGTATGCTACCATTCCTGGCTTTACTTAATCTTTTGATGGCTTGAAACTGATTTGAAAAAGTTCTTNCTTTGGAGCCTGTCCTGGAACTAGCTCTGTAGACTAGGCTGGTCTTGAACTCACAGAGATCCGCCTGCCTCTGCCTCCCGAGTGCTGGGATTAAAGGCGTGTGCCACCATCGCCCGGCAAGTTCTTGTATTTTTAACATGCTGAATATTTATCTACTTTGTGCTATTTCCTTTTTTTTTTTTTAAAAAAGACTTATTTATTATGTAGAGTGTTCTGCCCACACACATGCTTGCAGACCAGAAGAGGGCATCAGATCTCATTTCAGATGGTCGTGAACCACCATGTGGTTGGTGGGATCCTTGGAACTCAGGACCCTTAGAAGAGCAGCCAGCACTCTTGACCCCTGAGCCTTCTCTCCAGCCCCTATTTTGTACTATTTTCTACCTTGCTCATACCATCTTCTACATATCGGGAGACTGGATACCCTCCCAGCCATCTTTCTCTGTGTTAGTCTGACTCGTGTAGAAGTAGTACGGGGATCAGGATTTCTTCTTATAAAGCTCAGGACTGCGGGAGCTTGTTCTTTGTTTTATGCCCACCCCCAACCTCCCAAACAAACCAAAACAAAATTGGGAAAGGCTGCGGGCCTGAAGAAGTTTGACTCCTCTCACCTGGTCAGAGGTAGGAAGTGTTAGGGTTGAAGCCACAGACTGACTTAAGTCTTTGCCCCTCATTTTACCACCACTTTTAAGCTGCCTAGCTGAATTTGGAATGAGAATGAAGGAATTTGTGTTTGCTTTTTTTTTTTTATCTTTTTAAAATTTATTTACTCCTTTTAAACCATGTGTTTGTGTGCCTGTGCATGTGAGTGCTGGTACCGACGGAGGCTAGAAGAGGGTATCAGATCTTATGGATCTGGAGTTACAGGTGGTCATGAGTTGTCCTGTGTGGGTGCTGGGAGCTAAACATGGGTCCTCTGTAAAGAACAAACATATTTAACCATGAGCCTTCTTTCCAGGCCCAGGGATGGATTTGTCTTTTGGTTGATAAGTCAGTGACTCTTACTGCTCTTACCATACATGATGTGCTGTGTGTGGGGTCGGTGCCTATCAGAGCGCTGTGCACTCTTACACTAGGTGAGCAAACATTGGGGCTTGCTCATTCTTCCAGACGCTTAAGAGTTAGAACCACCCGAGAACTTGCTCTGCCTTTATAGAGTGGAAAGTGATCTCATCTTGACCACTGTTTTGCCTAACAGGAAGCCTGCAGATCTGCAGAACTTGGCTCCCGGGACCCACCCACCGTTTATAACCTTCAACAGCGAGGTCAAAACGGATGTAAATAAGATTGAGGAATTTCTTGAAGAAGTCTTGTGCCCCCCCAAGTGAGTATGAGAATTGTGGACACAGCGCCACGCTTTGAATTAAGCTTTGTTTCCAGGCACTCTTCCGATGGCTTAGATTCCTGCAGCGTTGACAACCAGGACCCTGGCATCGTAGTGGAAATTTAAGCTGCAGACAGAAGGTTTTGTATCCTTCTATTTTCAAAGTGTTATTGGTTTTCTTTTAGGCTTTACTGGCTTAATTAACCTGAAAATATTTTTCTTTTTGTAAAGATGTATTTTTTTTTTTTTTTTTTTTTTTTGGTTTTTTCGAGACAGGGTTTCTCTGTGGCTTTGGAGCCTGTCCTGGAACTAGCTCTGTAGACCAGGCTGGTCTTGAACTCACAGAGATCCGCCTGCCTCTGCCTCCCGAGTGCTGGGATTAAAGGCGTGCGCCACCATCGCCCGGCTATTTGTGTATTTTATGTATTTGAGTGTTTTGTCTACATATGAGAAGATGACACTGGATTCCATTATAGACAGTTGTGGAACACCATGTGAGTGCTGGGAATTGAACTCAGGACCTCTGGAAGAGCAGCCAGTGCTCTTAACCACTAAGCCATCTCTTCAGCCCAGAAAATGTGTTTCTTTTTTCCTAACCCATCATTTCTTGCCAGTTGCTTTTGCCTTTTCATGTCCAGATAATTTTCCCAGCGATACGGATTACTGGGTCAGATGGTTCCAAAATTAGTTGCTCAGCTCCGTCCATCTCCCCATCAATTCATATCCATCCATCCATCCATCCATCCATCCTCCACTCATCCATCCATCCATCCTCCACTCATCCATCCATCCATCATCCACTCATCCATCCACTCATCAGTTCTTCAATCAATCCATCTTCTTTGTAGCTATTAAGACAGCAGAACAGCGTGGATCAGCAGAAACGGAAGCTTAGCTCCTGTTCTTAAAAAAGCACAGCAGTAGCCAGGTGTAGTGGTGCACACCTTCAGTTCCAGTGCTTGGAAGGCAGAGGCAGGCAGATCTCTCTGAGTTCAATACCAACCTGGTCTAAAATGTGTTCCAGGCCAGTCAGGGCCACAGAGGGAGACACTGTCTCACAAAACCAACTGCATACAATGAAATACAGGTGGTGATACAGGAATGGGTGGAGGGAGGTTTGTATGGAGAAGAGATGACTCTTACCTAAGCTTTACTTACTTTTAAGCCGGTGTGCAGCAGGTGAACAGAGGAGTGATGAACATTTTGGGGCAAGAGACTGTATTGGCTAAAAGGTGTTTCTTTTAAGGACCGTAGAAAGGAAAGATGTGGGAAGCCATCCTTCTGTCTGTGATTAGCCCGATGTGTGTTGTGAGGAGAACTGCCCCTGGGTTGCCAATTTTGTGCTAAACCTAAAACTACATTCTCTTGGTCCTGCTCTAAAATACTAAAAGTTGGCTAGCTCTTCTCTGTCCTTGCTTCTTTTATCTCTCTCTCCAGTAGTCCCGGTGGCCTCTCATTTCCTGAGCAGTTTCTACAAACACTGAAAACAGATCCTAACTCCTCAGCCCATGCATCTAGTTTGGATGTCCACAAACCACAGCCAAGGCCTCCCACAGCAGATAGGGAGGGCCCTCTGGACACTCAGCTAGGAACAGACGTCTGACTTCCTGGAAACGTCTCTGGATTGCTGCATCATAGACACCTCTAGATCTCTCTGTTCTTAAGTCTGTCAGCTCTGAGGAAGGTACCGAATTGGCAGCTTGTTCTCAGACCGCTGATTGAAAGTGATTTCTCATGTAGATCATTGTGGTGACCTTAGATTCTAAGTGGAGGGGCATTTGGAAGATATATCCAGTCTCGATGAAGGAAATTATTTTGTTGTAAACTATTTCTGAATTGCTCATTCTGTGCATTTTTCAAGAATATTTTAAGTTTTTTTTAAAGATTTATTTACTTATTATTATTATAGTGTTCTACCTGCATGGTGCACACCAGAAGAGGGCACCAGATCTCATTATAGATGGTTGTGAGCCACCATGTGGGTGCTGGGAATTGAACTCAGGACTCTGGAAGAGCAGCTGGGTCACCTCTGCAGCACCAGCTTGTTCTTTCATCTCCGTTTTATTTGCGCAGGTGCAAAGCTGCTGTAACTGGAGATGGATTTTCTTTCGATCCAAACTCAAAAGTCTTTCTATTCTAGTGTTTGTAGTGTGCTAAGTTCTTTCTAGAGTAGTTTCTTTTTCTTTATTTATAGATAACCTGAAGAGTTTCTGAGTAATGTTTTATATAGATAGCCTTTTTTTTTTTCCATCCTTTGTTGAAATATGAGCGGCGGGGCTGCGTCCCCAACACCCCAGCCGCTTGCTAGCTTATGCCCGAAATAACAACACACAAACTGTATTCATTTAAGAACTGCTTGGCCCATGAACTCTAGCCCTTACGGGCTAATTCTCACACCTGGACTAGCCCATTTCTAGTAATGTGTGTAAGCACCCCAAGGTGCGCTTACCGGGAAGATTCTAGCCTCCATCCATCCTGGCGTCTCTGCTCCAGCGAGCAGAGCTGTCGGGTCTCTCCGGGAGCAGAGCAGAGTCTGACCTCACTTCCTCTTCCACCCAGAATTCTATTCTGTTTATTCCTCCCACCAATGCTTTAACCTATCAGGGCCAAGCAGTTCCTTTATTGCTTAACCAATGAAATCAACAGATTTATATATGACACTCCCACATCAATCCTTCTTCCTCCTTACTCCTCCTTTTAAAAAAAAATAAGGTCTAATGTAGCCTAGGCTGGTCTCAAACTCACTTGTGGAGCTGCTGTTCACTCCAGACCTAACAGGGCTCTTCCTGCTGTTTGTACGCTGCCCTGTGTATGGGAGGGGGCTGGGCAGCAGAACTGCCCTAGCAGGTAGACCAGCCTGTCCTAAAGCAGCAGTTGGAACTGTGAGCACTAAGATGCCACCCCTGCAGGGCAGGTGGAAGCGCGCTGGCATTTCCTGAGATGTGGCCACTAATGCAGAGCTGAACACAGAGAGCCTTTCTGTAAGACTCTGCAGGCTCTGACGGCTTTCTCTTGTCTCCCGGGGAAAGAATTATTGTTATTAGTTATTAATTTAGTCATAGTTAGGGTTTAGATTTTAGTCTTATTTTTATTTTAATTAAGGAACTACTTATCCAAAAAGCTTTGAAATTTGAGGTTTTAAAAGTTATGTTTAGTGTGTATGTGTGTGTTCCTGAGCGTTCTGTGTACACCTGTGTGTGCAGGAGCCTGTGGAGGTCTTCAGAAGGGGCTAGGTCCCCTGAAACTGAGTTAGAGGTGGTTGTGAGCCTCCACATGGATGGAGGAACTGAATCCGTGTCCTCTTTTGCAAGGGCAGCAGATGCTCTGGGTCACTGATCGTCTCTGGTTTACTGAACTGTGCTTTGCTGCTAGAGATGGACGGTTAGGGCCGAAGATGACCGATGTCAGTGTGTAACTCCAGAGGCATGCTGTATATAAGATAGGCCACTTTATTTTGTTTTGTGGCTTCTAATTCACTATCCTCCTGCCTCAGCTTCACCAGAGTGGGGATCACAGGTGTGCACGGGAGTAATTTTGCACACTGGGCTAGAGGAAGACATGGGTGTGCTGAAGAGGCGCTGTGCTCTCCGCACTGGCTCTGCTGGGATGCTCAGTGTGGTCTTCACTGTGAGAGCTGTTGATGACTCTGACTCTGGCACCTTGAGCTGGTTGTCTTCAGAGCCAGGAAATCCAGGCCTGTTGGCCTTGGGATTAGCTGTCTCCACTCAGGGAGAGAGCTGTGTGGTGGGGAAGAACATTGGTATACACATGTGATTCAGATAAACTCATTAGATTTGCTCACTAAAGCACTTGGTGTAATGTTTATGGGAGAAGTTTCTAGGGTTAAAAATTGAGAAATTTGGAGACTGGGTAGACTTATTAAAAAGAAAACCAGCTGAGTTTTTAGAGGATAGACCTTTACTGAATCCACAAAAGCAAGCAGAAGAAATGTAAATAAACCATGCTGATTTCAGCACTCAGGCCAGCCTGGAATGCATATATGTATGTATATGTTTGTAAATGTACATGTATATGAGAGACAATGGAGTAAAAGAAAACATTGCCCTGTAATACAGTTTCTTTCAAATCTTGTTTCCTCCATTTTAGTTTAAGGGGACTAAGACCAGACAGCGTCCTCTAGAACGAGTTAAAATAAGTAGTTTAGTTGTGGAATTTTATCTGATTCTCTAGGGCCCTCCAGCTGAAGAATATTCTCTGAAGCAGGGCTGGGGCCCCTCTGAGAGGAAGCAAGCCCTGCTGAAGGAAGGAGGAGGTGACCAGCCTTTCCCCACTGACTTCCCATTCTAAGGAAGAATGGGAAGCACTGAATGTGTGTGGTTAAAATGTAAACACGTGTGCACGCCTGTTTAAAAACTGGTGTCGTGACTTTCTTAAGGATGAAAACTTGGTCACGGCACAAAAGAGGGTTTGGTATGATGCCTGGCGTCCTGTTTATTTACTGTGCAGCCCCACAGTCCTAAATATACCACAGCGCATTTAGCACAGGGAGTGGAGAGAGAAGCCGGGTGCTGTTTGGAAGTGAAACACTCACTGTTTTGTCCTCAGCCGGCTGTGGATGATCAAGATGCTTGACCAGCCTGGGCTCCTCCTGCTGTCTGGTTCCCTCATGCTGCCGCACAGGGCCAGGCCAGTGCCCGGCATACTAAACACCCAGCTGTGGGAGCTGTGTCTCCCGGCTACCGAGAATTGGAGTGTGCCTTGCTTTATTTCTTTGTGCTTCTTTTAAAGCTGTGTTCTGATAGCATCTTGGCACTAATGGGTGCCACACTGGATGTGAAGACGGAGTTGAGTACATTCCCTTTATTTACCATGAGAGCTCCCTGGGATGGCCTGTGTGAGAAGTCTCATTCTAGGGCACGTGTGTTCTCCTGGTCCAGGCCCTTAACACGCCACTTCCTTAGCATTCTTATCATTAAATGGAGGTGGGGAGGGGATGCCCTTTGATTGCCAAGAATATTAATATGTGAACAAAAACACCGTGCACAGCTTTGTTTCCTAACATTCAAAAACAACCATAGAAACAGTAAGTGTTGAAAGATGGCTGGTGACGGATCAGACTTCGGATAAATCTTCTGGAAGGATCTGTAACCCAGTGTCACCTTTTCTGTGTAGGTACTTAAAGCTGTCACCAAAACACCCAGAGTCAAACACTGCCGGAATGGACATCTTTGCCAAATTCTCTGCTTACATCAAGAACTCGAGGCCAGAGGCTAACGAAGGTAAAAAGTTTTAAATTGGGAGTCACAGCAGGAAGCTGAGTGTAGCCAAACCCCAAAGACAGTGTGAGCTATTAGGAAGCCAGTGAGCGTGAGGAGAGCGTGAGGAGAGCGTGAGGAGAGCGTGAGGAGAGCGTGAGGAGAGCGTGAGGAGAGCGTGAGGAGAGCGTGAGGAGAGCGTGAGGAGAGCGTGAGGAGAGCGTGAGGAGAGCGTGAGGAGAGGAGTTGCTGCTCTTCTAGGACCCGCTCCAGTGCCTGGAGTCTGGTAGCCGCCGTGGGGGCAGTCACTGAGCACACAGACCCTGAGGAGTTTACCCTCCAGGGAACTGGGGGCACAGGCAGAGCAGTGGGCAGAATGGCTGTGGTAATGAAATAGATTTAGCTTTGAGGGACTGCTTACTGAATCCCTTGTTTATTGTGGGTACCAGCAGCCTTGTGGTCCTGTGCTTTGTTGTGTACATGTATGCTAATGAATTCCTCTTCCCGAGCAGTTTTGGGAGTGGCCTTTAGGAGGTGGTTAAGACTCCTCAGCCCTCACATCTCTTTGCATCATAAAACTAGAGATTTTGTTTCAGGGCATTGTTATGGCGAGGGATAGTTTAGTATTATAGATACAATTTGTTTGTTTTAATTAAAAGATACAGAGTATGAAGCCAGACTGGGCTACCTGAAACTGTCAAAAAACCAAAGCAAAAACCCAAGCCCCAAAAATTTAGGGCTGTAACAGAATACAGACAAAAATCTGCCCTCTAAAAATATGTTGAGTCTGTTCTGGTTGTAGGCAGCGTGGTAGCTTGGGCTGGGGTCAAGGCTCTGGCAGCCTATGGGATGGAGTGGGTTGTGGGGATGATGAACAGGGCTGTTAATAACAGCTAACACCTAAGAGTGAAGCACTTGCTGATTTCCCTGTTATTTCCGCTCCCAACTATTCCGGCTCCTTTCTGCTATCCGGTTTAAGATGGCAGCATTTCATAATTCAGTGTGGGATTTGCCTGTCTTAGTGTCTGGGGTGCAGTGACTGAAAATCTTGTTCCTAAGCAGACGGTTAAGCTGGAGTCCCTTCTTCCCAGAGTGTCCTTAGCTCCCTGCGCGTGCAGGCTGCTGTGTCCCTAGAGCTGGCTTTTGTCCCAGGCCTGCTAGCTGGCCAGCCCCCTGTGCTTTTCACAGTTGTGATGTTTTTATTCTGTGTGCAGTTTTTGAGGGCTGGAGAATTGGTTGGATTTCTTTTACTGCATAATGGGGAGGACAGGAGAATAAAATGAGTTTTCCTTTGCCTTGGGTGATGGGGGTGGGGAAAGAGAAAGTGACTCACTTAAGTATAAGTTTGTATTCTATTTTTTATCTGTCAACTTGTTAGGGCCTTAAGTGGCCACCTACGCTGCTGTCTTTAGAGCGCTGTAAGCAGTAAGCAAAGGACTCAGCAAGCACTTAAAGCCGGAGGCTTTGTGTATAGCCAATGCCTATTGGTAAACGGGGATTTGAGTTGCCGAGCTGCTTGCTACATTTCTCCACAGGGACCTGTCATTGCCCTGAGGCTTTAGGAAACACTTCCAAATCAAATTTGAGTTGAATGCGCGCGTGCATGCTCGTGTGTGTGTGCTCGTGTGTGTGTGTGTGTGTGTGTGTGTGCTCGTGTGTGTGTGCGTGTGCTCGTGTGTGTGCTCGTGTGCTCGTGTGTGTGCTCGTGTGTGTGTGTGCTCGTGTGTGTGTGTGTGTGTGTGTGTGTGTGTGTGTGTTGCTCTTCTCTGTCTTCCAACTCTCACACGGCCGTTCACAGAGGTGCATTGTCGCTTCTCATTGATGAGTCTCTGCTTTATCAGCCCAGTAAATATTTGGAAAATCCAATGTATGTGAAGAGTTTAAAGACCCCTAGGACCTAATTTAGATGTCTAGGGAAAGTGGGCAAGGGCCAGCGCTTAGATTGCTATATTTATTTTAACAGCAGAAATGTTTATGTCACATCTAACACTTCTCTGCCTTGAATCTGTCCATTCAGATCATGTAAGTAATAGAGCAAGATTTGCTCATTGGAAAAGCTGAGGTGATACAGGGATAATTTTTTGTAATACGGCATTTATTCTTTGAGACTACCCCTGCACGCACACGATGTACTTTGATCCGTCCACTCTTCTCCCACTAACGCCACCCAGATTCAGCACCACTCCCCGCTCTTTCAACTTCATTTAAGAAACTTCTTGCTTTTTTTAAAATAACCCACTGATACAAAATCTGTACTGTTCGTCTATTCCTGGGTGTGGAGCATCCACTGGAGCCCGGGTGACCTACCAGGACCACAGCTTTAAAGAAAACTGACCCTCCCCCAGAAGCCATCAACCATCAGCAGTTCCTCAGCTAGGGATGGGGCTCAGGCGGCCCCCCCGTTCCCATGCTAGAATGCTGACTGGTTGGTTTGTCCTGCAATTTCTTGAGTACAGGGCTTCCGTCCTATCCAGAAGACCCTTCCTCCAGTCCCCTCTGACTCAAGGCTGGATAGTAAATTCAATATAATTTCAGTGATCCTAGGTGACTGGGAAGTCATTTTATGTAAAACTGTGTTGTGCGTGCTCACATTACTATATATTAATTAGAAAGCTTCCTGTCACTCAGAGGCGGAGGCAGGAGACCATGAACTGCACTACCTTCACCCCAGCGGAGGTCCAGTCCTTCCAGTCCAAACAAGTCTGCCTCAGGCTTTAGAAACCTTAGAAACTTTAGAAATAGGATTGTAGCTGCGGCCTCAGGGAGTTTTGGCTAGGGCTGTGCTGCCAGTGAGTGACTGTCCTTGAGCCAGATTCTTGAGCCTTTCCTCCTCTTCTGAGGTGGTGTCTCACTCTGTGGCCCAGCTCTCCTGAATGCAGATGTCAGGCTTGTGCCACCATGGCCAGCAATTCTATGCATTTTAATTTGCCACAGTTTCAAAATCTGTACCAGTTTATATTTTCACTAACCTCAAAATGTTCATTTCCATGGACTTCTGACTTACACGTCTGCATTTTTAAATTTTGCTGTATTTCCATAGCCAAAATGGTTTTTACTTTCATAATTAATTTTAAGTGGCATGAACTGCACTTACTACATTATTGAACTCTCTTTTTTTCTTTTTCTTTTTTTTTAATAGCTTCTTAGAGATGGGAAAGTAACAGCCCTAACTTGCAGAGTGCGTTCTGCTGGGTGACACACTACTGCCTCCCAGTGGTTAGTCTTGGTGTTTCTTTATCCTCATGACAAACGCCTTTGCCTGTGCTATATAAGCTTTAGAACTTTGCTAGGTTCATTGGCTAACACTGTTTTTGGAACCTTCTAGTGCCTGTTTGTATCTTTTTTCCATGGCCATCCTTTATGATTAATTATAAATTATTACTAATAATGATTAACATAAATTATTACTAATTTTCTTCTCTCCATTTTCACTGTTTTTGTTTTGTTTTTTGAGACATGGTTTCTCTGTGTAGTCCTGGCTGTCCTGGAACTTGCTCTGTAGACCAGACTGGCCTTGAACTCACAGAGATCTACCTGCCTCTCTGCGTTCCCGGGTGCTCGCAAGTGGCTTAGTCCAATCTCTGAAGCATGATAGTCCTCTTGGCTCTTGAGAAGACTGCCAGCTTTTCCATTCTGAACCAGTGCCTTGGCCAAGGAAGTCCTGTTCTTGGCCTCTTGTGTGACAAGGCAGGGTGAGAACCCAGGATCCCAGGCTTCCTGTTTATGTTGTCTGCTCAGGCATTGGTGCCTCTTGGCACATTTCTTCATGGTGAATCCCGAGGTCTCCAGTGAGCAGGATCATGCTCTGCTTCTCAGCAGGAATTTCTCCTAGCCGTGAATCAGTAGACTTGCTTTTCCCGCCTGCCTTTGCAGTTTTAATGTCAACAGGGTTGGGCTGTAGCATGTTTGTATGTTGGGGCGGGAACAGGACAGTTTGCTGGTTGGCAGAATAGACAAGACTCTCATGTGTTTCCGCCCTTGCTGGAACGATCGTGTAGCCAGGCTCCAGGGGAGGAGCCTTCTGTCTTGCTCTCGAGCTAAGGGTCTGAGTCAACATCAGCCCCTGCCCAGGGCTGGGCTTCCTCTTTGACAGTGTTCACATCTGTTTCAGCGCTGGAGAGGGGGCTCCTGAAGACACTGCAGAAGCTGGATGAGTATCTGAACTCTCCCCTTCCCGATGAGATCGACGAGAACAGCATGGAGGATATCAAGTTCTCCACCAGGAGATTCCTGGATGGCGACGAGATGACACTAGCGGACTGCAACCTGCTGCCCAAGCTACACATCGTCAAGGTAGGCCTGCGGGAAGTGGGGTGCTGCCTGGAGCAGCGCCCCCTCACAGAAGCCTTCCCCCACCCGGCCAGAGAACACACAGTCAACGCGGCCTAGAGCCAGTTAGGTAGGAAATAGAGGGCGGAGGATCAGAGCGCCCCCTCCAAGTCCAGACTGGACTTTATGAGACCCTGTCTCAGGGAAAGAAAGAATTTTTTTCTTGTGATTGAATAAAAAGTCAAAGATCTAATAGGTAACTCTGAACTGAACCAACACCATCAAATCCTGTCTGGTCATCATCACCCACCTGGCCCTTTTCATTGCCAAGCACCCGAGTTATTAAATGAGCATTACTCCTGCAGTAAAGATCTAAGGTAAGGAAAACAGTTTTAGAACCTGGCGTGCAATCCCAGCATTTGGGAGATGGAGGCACGAGAATCAAGAGTTCAAGGCCAGCGTAACTAACATGAGATTGTACCAAAAAACCCAGCCCAGTTAAACTAAAAAAGGAAGAAAAGAAAACAAACTTAAAATAGTATATGTTTAAAAACTAATAACCCAGTGATTATACCCAGCCACCCCCATGTGCAGGGCAGGCTGCCGTAGCCACTGCACATTGCCCAGTACATGGAGTAGCACGTGGTCCTAGTCCATGCGAGCTTAGCTGCTCTCTGTGTGTGCGTGTTCACCTGGGTAACCTTGGAGGCCAGAAGGAGGTGCCTTTCCCCTCTTGGTGGAGCTACAGGCAGTCGTGAGCTCCCTTCATGGGAGCTGGGAACAGATCTGCAGTCCTCTGGAAGAGCTCCTCCCCAGAATGTGTGGACAGAGGTTCATAGAATTACTAGTCTAGTGTGGCCACTTGGAAGGTAGATGTAACTCTTGATCTCTTGTATTTCAGGTGGTGGCCAAAAAATACCGCAACTTCGATATTCCCAAAGAAATGACGGGCATCTGGAGGTACCTGACAAATGCCTACAGCAGGGATGAGTTCACCAATACCTGTCCCAGCGACAAGGAGGTGGAAATCGCTTACAGTGATGTCGCCAAGAGACTTGCCAAGTAGACAGCACTTTTGAGAGCGATGCCTTCAGATTCCCCCCAAATACGCTTTCCTAACAGACTGCTCTGCCTCCTCTAAAGTAGAAGTGTATTTTGCATGAACATGCAGTTACTCAAGACTAGGATTAAAGCTAGACAAAGTGTAGTAGTCATCTCCAGTACACACTCCTAAGCAGTATTATTCTAAAGTCCTCTGCCCAGCCCACCTGCCCTGCCCGACGGAGGTACTCCGCCACCAGCACATGAGAGGCAGTTTGCCATCAGTCTGGAGCCCCGACCTTCATGTCCATTCCCTGCGTGTAGGTGACAGAATTTGAGGTGCAATGTTCAACCATTAGAATAGTAGCCATGACAACAGTGGCCCCACGCTGGTGTATAATGCATGGTACAAAGAATATTTATGTATGGGGGAGAGTTGTAGTACTGAATAGCGGATATGGGAGGATTGCTGTTGTGTTGGACACACTGTCTCAGTGTAGGCTGTGCTGGAGTGTGCTGTCTGGGAAGACCACCTTCTGCAGAGAGATTGCTGGTTTCTTGGTAGAAGCTTAATTTTACCTAAAATGTGTCATTTGTATAAATTGTAACATCTGATACTATGTAGAAACTGAGAGACTGAGTTCTGGGAAGGCACTCTCGATGATAAGATGGGTGGGTTCTGTCTTACGATATCTGCTCTGTGGGTTCACCCAGGACCATGCTTACGTTTGCAGCAGTATTGCTGCCTCCATTGTTAACAGGCTGTTTCTCTCTCTCTCTCTCTCTCTCTCTCTCTCTCTCTCTCTCTCTCTCTCTCTCTCAAGTTCATGGGGTTCAGGGTGAGCTTATTGAAGTCAAGTACACTTAACTCCTAAAGCAGGGTCTCTGGGGGACGGGGTGAAGAACGCATCATCTGGCCTATCGTAAACTCCCATGAAGCACAGGTCACATGCTCCCATCTCACCTCCATTGCATTAGACCAAGTGGGAGGTCCTTCTTGGGATACATTGTGGTTGTCATAGTGTGGATTTCCCACAGTTGTGCCTAATGTCACTTGCCACGCCAAGGAAACACTCTGTTCTTTTCTTGCCCTTTGTTCTGAGATGAGATGTTTCTCTGAAGGCCTGGTTGGCCTGGGACTTGAGAGGTGAACGAATTGGCCTCAAAGTTGTAGCAATCCTCCTGCATTTTCCTCCCAAATGCTGGGATTATGAGCCTGCACCATCACGTCTGGCTTGTTTTCTCATTTTTTAAACAAAGTCTAAGATGAAAGAGAATGAGTTTGGTCCCACCCAAACAAAGTGGACTTTCTACATAGTACCCCAGAGCCTGGTTGTGACTTTGTTATATTTTTGGTGTTTTTTTTTTTTTTTTTTTTTTAATGTAACTTGTTGAAGAAGTCCTGTTTCTCGCAGGCTTTCCGTCCCACAGTGCACCGCTTTAAGGTGGCCTGCTTTCCCCTTTGGTGTGCAGACAGTAAATAAATAAAAGTCGGCTCTGCGGAAGTGTTCTGACTCATAAGCAGCCCCTTTTCAAACTTACCAGGGATTCTCTTAGCACGGGGACAAGCTTTCGAGCGCACGCACCCCTGTGGCTCAGGGAGATGCCTTGGCCACGGCTTCACCCTTATTGCTGATCAGGGTGTGGCACCATCACTGTGCAGACACTGGGTGGTGATGTCTGGTTCCGGAGGGGGGTGGGACGTAGGACGACACTATCTTTTCTCCTTTGAGAAATGGTCCTGCCGTGTCTCAATGGGCAGAAGTGTCCCAACTTTACAGAGTGACAGCTTGTCCTTGGGTGGGGTTGCATCTTTCATGAGGAAGATTCCAGAGAACGAATGCCTCTTCTTTCTGCAAGTGGACGGAGTTAGTGGGGGCTCCCACCAGAGGCTGTGGCTGACGTGCCTACCCTTGGGTGTTTCTTCGTGGCTTCCTAATTTGCCTCCTGGTTGCTCTTGCTGTCTCTAGTTGTCCATCCAAGGAAGGGAAGCCTGCCTTGGTTTTGACAAAGGCAGAGCTGTTTTTCTCTGTGGAGCCAGTTTTAGATGAAGAAAAGTCAAACAAATTTGAGTTTGACAAAAGGACAGAAGCTGTAAGGAGGAAGGGCCACAGCAAGCACCTTCAGCTCCATCTGTGCAAAGATCGTGGCTAAAACCTTGAGGTTTGAGATGCTGAAATGTGACGTTTCCATGCAGTTGGTGCGGTGTGGGGGCTGAATCCAGGAGCCATCTAGTCTCACGTCCACACCTCCTGAGTGGAGTCTCCCTGCTCCTCAGTGGATCCTGAGGAACTGTTGTAATTATTATAACTTCCTTTGTTCTCTAGCTACGGATCTTGAGTACAATGCAAATAAGATTTTCTCGTAATATTAGCTTTCATAGCTCTAAAGTATTGAGCAGTTTGCATACCATTAAGAGACTGAGGGGTTTGGACACTCGGTGGGTGGGTCAGCGCTAGGACTTAGGCTTTTGTACTTCAACTGAGTTAGTTTTCTGGGACCTCACCAGAGGCGCGCATGGAGATAGGTTTTATGTCTTCATGCTTTTTTTTTTTTTTTTTAAAAAAAAAAACCCTATTTAGGAAACATCTACAAAGTAAAAGTGAGGGGAAGTAGAAAGTGTTTTTTTAGTGAAGGTTTTGGTCTACACCTTATCAAGCTGTAAAGGACTCACCAGTTTCTTAGGCTGCAGTAATCACCATTTGGTTCAGAGAGCAAGAGAGAGAGCGAGAGCATTTGTTAGTGAAACTCACAGTGGACTTCTAAAGGTTCATCTTTACAATTATCGGGGGGGGGGGCGGACTAAAATTATTATATTGTAGAAAAAATTTAAGTCCCAAACCATAATGCTGAACAGGATTGGAATATTTTTTTGTAGAGTTCCTGGGGGTAGGAATGAAAGCTCGTTTCAGAATGCTTGCCTCTTCTTTCTTCTCTCTGGAACATCAACACCAGTATATTGCTGGCAGCTATTGTATTAAAAAAAAAAAGTAAATAAATATATTTTCACTATCAAAGGATTCTCTCTTCTCCTTCATGGTGTAAAAGTGCTTGAGATCGCTTTTCTGATGACTTAGCACATTTACTAGGAAGGAAAATGAACTGCTTATCCACCCACAACTGGTGCAGCGAAAACCATTGCTCTCAGCAAAATAGGGAAAAGTTAAAAATACTTGGCTTTTATGTGAACACACACATGTGTGCTCATGTATGTGGGGGTGGGGGTGCTGCAGAGAGCGGAAGAGGGTATTATACAGTTTTAGCTGCACCAGTAACCCCACAAGATGTGGGGCAGGACCGTGAAGAGGAAGCTGTGTCCTGTCACGGCTGCTGTCCCAGCCATGCAGCAAGACTGGAAGTCGTAGGAATGGATGGCAGTGAGAGAGAGAGAGATGGCTTTTGCACATGTGTGAATGTGTAACCTAAAATAACACACAGATTCCTAATGAATTTCTACATACAGCACCGAATACCGAAAGTCAGGCTGGGGAGTGGCTTAGCAGTTAAGAGCGCTGGCCCAGAGGACCTGGGCTTGAACTCCCAGCGCCCACATGGTGTTTCATAACCAGCTGTAATGCTGATACTAGATCTGTCGCCCTCTTCTGGCCTCCTCGGGTGCCAAACGTGCATGTGATGTGCACACACACATGCAGACCAAACACCTAGATATATAAAATGAATTTAAAGATTTTGAAAGTCCGTATAATTCATATACTAAGTGAAGGAAACCTGGATCTTGGAGGAAAAATAAGTAGGAAAAACTTAAGCTTATGTAAAGTACCTGTTTTTTTTTAAACATTTATTTATTATGTATACAATATTCTGTCTGTGTGTATGTATCCCTACAGGCCAGAAGAGGGCACCAGACCCCATCACAGATGGTTGTGAGCCACCATGTGGTTGCTGGGAATTGAACTCAGGACCTTTGGAAGAGCAGGCAATGCTCTTAACCTATGAACCATCTCTCCAGCCCCCTAAAGTACCTGTTTTGCAAGACATTATATCTATTTTACTTAGGTGTTTTGAGACATGGTTTCTGTCTTTAATCCCAGCACTTGGGAGACAGAGGCAGATGTATCCCCAAGTTCGAGGAAAGCCAGGGCTACACAGTGCTCAGAAAAAGTTGCAAGAGAAAAGGAGCGTACAAAAACATCAGGCCTCCCAATAGAAATCCCAAAGTCAGAAAAGTTATTTCAAGTCCTGAAGGGAAACAACTGCCAACTGAGATTCCTCTATCCACTAAAATTCTCTTACAATTGAGAGAACAATGAGGACGTCTCAAGACAAGCACCAACTAAAACAGTTTCAGACCACCATGCCAGCATTGTGGGAAATACTTAAAGGAGCCCTAAACACAGAGTGGGAGAAAGGAGACTGGAGAAGAATGGGTTTCATAGAACTGTGAGCAAAAGCGGACTAGGAAAGGATCCAGCACGTCCAACACAGCCAGAAACCCCTACCACAGAGAGAAGAGAAAGGAGCAACAATCCAAACGAGAATCAAAACGTGATTACAGCAACTCGCAAACCTCTCTCAAGTGCACGTAGTCCTCGTTCAATTGAAAGATGCAAACTCACTCAGAAGGAAGATCAGATCCTCTCATCTAGCCTCAGGTGTGGTGGGTTGTCAGCTTGACACAGTGTAGAGTCATGGGGGGGGGGGGCTAGAGGGATTGTCTAGATCAGGATCACCTGGGGACAAGATTAGGGAGGATTTTCTTACATTCACTGAATCGGAAATAATTTATCTTTGGTCAGGCTTATAGCTAGACTTTCGAAGCTATTGAAAAAAATTTCCTGATTTCTTTCTTAGAAAAGATAAATTTCCCACTAAAACTCCAGTAATATTCTTCACAAAAATATATCTATAGATCTTGAAGTTTATATGGGAGAGCAAAATATTCAGCCAAGGTAATCCCAAGCAGAACAATGGTAGAAGTATTAAAGTATGCTACAGAGTCATAGTAAGAAAAACAACATGGTACCGGCACAAACCCAAGACATGCAGACCAGTGACAGACTAGAAATAAACACACAAAGCTCCTGCTACCTAGTATTTGATAACGGTGTTAGAAACATACATTGGAGAAAAGACAGTGGTGCTGGGAAAATTAACCACATGAAGAGCAAAACTCGATGCCCAACTCACACCCTGCGCCGAAGTTGAGTCAAACTGGGTCAAAGCCATAATGTGAGGCATGAAACACAGCTGGGGGAGAGCGTAAAATGTAAACACAGTGTCCTAGTTTCATTTCCACTGCGGTGGCAAAGCACCCTGCCCAAAAATGTCTTTGAGGAGGAGGGGTTTATTTGGCTTATAATTCCTTGTTACAGTTAACCCTGCAGGGAAGACAAAGTCAGGCGCAGAGAGGAAGGAATGGAGGCAGTCATGCCAACCAACCTGCTTTTTCTGCTCGGCTGTCTTCCTTCGCTCTAACACAGTCCAGGGCTCAGCCTAAGGAATGGTGCCACCCACGGTAGGCTGGGTCAGTTAATCGACAATCTCCCACAGACATACCCACAAGCTAACCCCGTCTAGACAGTTTCTCACTGAGGCTCTTTTTCTACATGACTCTCGGTTGTGGGAAATTGAATTTAAAACTAACCACCATAGGCCAGGGCATAGCAGCAAAAGCAGACGTGGGATTGCTTGGTATGCAAAAGCTGCTGCCCAGCAAAAGCAGACACCAGAGTGGAGAGATGCCTACACAATGAAAGAAAATATACCAACTGTACATCTGACTGGGAGCTAAAAAAATGAGCCACTCATTTGCAAGTGGGCACATGAGCTGAATATAGTCCTAAAAGAAACAAATGACCAATAAATATTTGAAAGACCATTCAACACCCCTAATAGGGAAATGCAAATTGAAACTATATTGAGAATTCATTATATGTTAGCCAGAACGGCTATTACCAAGAAAGCAAATGCCTCACAGGGCTGGAAAAACTGCTAAGCCGTTAAGGGCACTCACTCCTCTTGCAAAGGACCCGTGTCTGCATCCTGGCCTCCAGACTGGGTGGCTCACACCCGCCTGGGACTCTAATTCCAGAGTATCTGTCCTCTCTGGCCTCCGAAGCACCTGCTCTTCTGTACACACACAGACACATTGTATAATAAAAAGAAAAAAGGAAAAAAAAACCCACCCACGTGACCACTGCGAGCAAGGCTGCGAGGAAGGACAACCCTTATTCAGGTGGGAATGCAAGCCGGTGCAGCTACTAGGCAAATCAAAAAGGAGGTTCTTCAAGAACTGTAAAATGGAACCACACCCCCCAGCTATACTGCTCCTGGGTATTTTTCTAAAAGCCTCCAAGCCAACGTATCCCAAAGGTGCTTCCCACTGGTGTGTTTGGAACACTGTTCCTAATGACTAAGCTTCAGTCTAGCAAGAGAGCCATGCACTAAGAACAGGCTGTTTCTATGCAATGGAAGGGGTTTCAGTCGTAGAGAATGAAGCTATTGCCTGCCTTGAGGCAGCCTGCTCCAGTCTCTCTCTGAAGTGTTGATATTGCTTAGCCTTGTTAAGTAAATCTCCACTGAAACTGGAAAGAGGAGGAGGAGGAAGAGAATAAAGGTGCGTCCTCTCCAGGAAAATAGATCCAACGGTGACCAATCCTCCCGTGCGTGCGTGTTAACTCAGAGTCTCAGAACTAAACTGCCTGATTTCTCTCACTTGCGAGTCTTCGATCTTACACAGATAGTACACAGATAGTACAGTCATACGGGTACCGATGACACGGAAGTAGAAGTGAAACTCCGGGGGAACTGAAGGGACTCGCGGGAGGGGGAGGGCGATGGGGGCGTGGGGGGGTGTGCTCAGAGTCCATTAGAGATGTCTTTGAAGATGGCCTTAGGTGACTGGGTTTACCAAAGTGAACCAAGGGAGGGAGGGCTCCAGAGAGAGAGAGCTGGGGACAGGAGAGCGGGTGGGAGAAGGAAAGACTTTAGCTATGAAAGCAGAAGGCGGCTGTTTGGAGGGAGGGGCGGCATGTGTTCCCAGTGTCTTCAAGCCTCTATAGCGGTACTGTCTGTGGTACCCGACAAAGACAGCTCACATGTCCGTCTAACCAGCGGGCTGGCGTGTAGATCTGTGTACATGCAAAGGCATGAGGAGTTGACAGATGCCACGGCAGGGATGAACCAGAAAGATGACTCTGATACAAGCCAGAGACTGAAAGGTCACATACTGTAGGGCGCTGCTTATTCCAAGTGTCCTTGGTACTGGGGAGACGGAGACCAGGAGGAGGGGGCGGTTCCCAGGAGTTTGCAGGTCAGCCAGTGGAGTTAAAACATCAAGCTGTATCTGGCCTCCACGTGTGTACACATTTACACACAAACATGAGTACATACACGTACCGGAGGTGGGGGGGGGGGAGAGAGAAACATACCCAAATTAAAGCAAAGAAAGGGTAAGGTACAAAGCAACTTAAAACCAAGAAAGCAAGACCCACATGAGAGGACATGGACCACAGCCTGTGTGTACTGAAACCCTGGAAGGGGAGGGGAAGGGAGGGAGGGGGAAGAAAGGGTGGGGGGAGAAGGGCAGG